ATCCAATTCGAAGATTAAGGAACAACGCGATCATCAACATTAACTGAAATAGATAATTAGATAATTTTAGATTATACCGTCCGTTATACATAAAACGCGCACGCGAAAACGTATTCTGCGCTTGCGCAAACGCATATGCGCAGTGGTAAAAGGTATTACGCGCAAGCGTAAACGCCTATGCGCATGTGACAACGAGGCACATGCGCAGAAAGTTTTTAGCTTTGAGGTCCGGATTATAGATCATTCCGAATTACGGGTGTCCGAATTAACGACTTTTGACTGTAATTGTCCAGCCCTTCACAGGAGGTAATGGTAGTCCACCTAATAGGTGCTTCCATAATAAGTCACCTCATCTGGCCTTAGTTGGCTAAAAGCACATGAAGGGGGGAAAAAATTTCTGAAGCACACACAGCTAGCACATGTTTTCAGTCATAGGCAAATTTTTGTTTAAAAATGTTTATTTTTGAATCTATTTGATTTGGAATGTGTTTTTTAACCATGCTTTATTTCTATTACATGTCTTCTACTTCAAAGATTTTTTTATTTAATGAAGAACAGTCATTCATTTTTAATGTCCAATGAATTAATGCATCAGCTAATTATATAAAACACCAAATGATTAAACTGTGGATACCACATAAATAGTGCGCATTTCATATTTCATTTATGTATGTGTTTTTCAACCTTTCTTGCTTCATGCACTTTTTACCATTGCCAGACAATCTCGCTTCCACTCTGTCTTTTCAAAACTTGAAAAACACACATACATCTATTTAAATTTAGATTATTTTTAAAGTGGTATGTAAATTAAACATGAAAAGTATAGAAAACGCTGATACATAGCAAAACTTGAATAACTGTAGTTTCATATTCTTAAATTAAAACTAAATACTTAACAGGTAAATAAAAAGCTAACCCCCCTGAAACTATGAAATTCTGGTTGAGAACCTTAGATTTTATATCTTCTTTGTTTGTACTACAAGTTTCTGTACCGTAAAAGATGCTGATCTTAATTAATGGCCATTTTTTATGTGACAAAGCATACAGACCAAAAAAATCAAACAGCTAACTTATATACTAACAGTAGCATTATGTAAGAGGACTGCACCAAAAGCAATGCAAAATTTTGTTTAACATTTTTATTAAATTTTGCAGATTATTGAAACTTTATGTATTGTAGCAGTAGCACTATATGTTGCTGAAGTAATTCATCCTTTAAATGAAGGTACTGCTCATTTGCATGTATTACAAACAATACATCTGTATCATCAATGAACCCAACTCTTAAATCCTCTTCGGAAAACTTCAGGTCCCCACTTTTTTACATTAACTTTCATTTAATTTATGTTAGCAAATCACTGTTTCCATAGATCGTTTTTCACTGGATTGAAGAAATAGAAATCTGAAGCTTCAGGATTAGGTCTATACGATGGACAAAAAACCACTAATCAACCTAATATGCTTATCGCTGAGTTCCTGGTAAAAACTGGGATGGCATGCATTAATTAAAAAATTGGGATGGCATACATTATCAAGGTTAAATGAGGATCACATTCAGATTTGTTTTTGTTTGGTCCCTACTTCTTAATGACTTCTTGTAGCCTTTAGAGAATATTAATGTATCACTTGCTGGTCACGTTAAAAAAAAAAAAAAAAAAAAAAAAAAATCAATAAGAATCATGCTCTCAAAAATTATCATTATAAAGGATTATATCCTCAATTTATCATTATAAAGGATTATAACAAGCTTTTATATTGCCCGCTGGCTCTTTACCCTTTAGGCTTGTAAAAAAGGGCTAATGTCAATCCTTGACTGATCCTTCCCCTTAAGATTATAAAAGTACATCTCTTGTTTCATCCTCTGTATGAAAAGTGGGGGGAAGCACCAGTTGCCTTTGGATGCTTACACATTTCCATTTTCCTAACCATTCTCAATTATTGACGTACCCCTTTGCACACCCATTATGAACACTTTTAAGTCTCTTACCATCCTTTGCAATACCTTGTAATCATAGATGTCTAAAAGAATCAACTTAAGTCATCTACTGAAAATTAATGGCATTGGCCATGGTCACTACAGTTTGTCTTTAATGTTAGTTTCCCCTTCAGACTCTATCTATGCACTCTGTTCTTGCTGTGGTTATCATCTCTTTAATTACCTCAAAGCATTGTGTAAATGTCAGACTTACTGGATCTTTTTTTAATAACATTCACTGATAATACATTGTTTTTTGTATACATTGTGAACTAAAAATTAATTATTACATGCAGAGCCATGCCTAGATACATTTTCACTTCAAAAACAAAGAGGTAAATGTACATCACTGTTAAGCAATGAAATTAACTATATAGCTGTCCTACAAAGTAACTGCTTTAAATTATACTACTACAATGTTTATTTTTTATCAGAGCTTTATATTTTTAGAAAAATAATAACACATATGAATTTATAATTTTTAAAAGAATGCATTAAAATACGTTTTTGATAAAAATTAAACAGCAGCAAAATGATATAAGTAAAATTATCATATAAAGTGCTGCATTAATTTTCACACTTTAAAATTTAATTTTCAAAACAAAATCCGTTATCACTAATTTTATCAAAATTTACTTGATTATTTAATTCGTGTTCCATACAGAAAAGAACAGCTATACTGTGATATAGGAAAACTTTTACATGTATTTTTATTTATTTTAGGTTATCTAAAACTTTAACAGTACAAAACCTGTTTTAGGATCTATTGAACTAAACAATACTCCTGAATTACCTTTAAAAGATCTATCTTGCTTTAGTGTCCAGAATTGTTGAAATATTGTGGTTTTTAATATTAGACATTTCTGATGAAATTTCCAAAGCATTTTATATCACTTAGATATTTAGGCGCTAAGCTACAATCATTCTCCTAATATACCTAAATTCAATGGCATTAATTTTTTACCAGCTAGAGACGATTAATAGGAAGACATCTCCTTTAAGTTCTCATCATCTTGTTACTTTATCAACCAATTTTTGATAATTTGATTTATTATTCTTTCTTTTTCACTCTCATTCACTTGCATTTCACTTTCATTCAATCTTTCTTTAGAAATTCTCTTAATATTATCAGTATTTCCTACATTTTTGAAGACCACTTTCTCACATTTTTAATAAAGAGAGAATACTTCTATTATATTTCTTTAATTAATTGAGCATGGAAAAGAATAGCAGGCTATCTACCAAATGAAGGAATGTTTTCACAAAGGGTTTTCTAAGGCGAACTGAACTCATTTGTATGTTTGCTAAACCTGAGAAAAGCCACAAAATCATCCATGAAATCAACCCATTCGCTAGTATTCGAACCTGCATTATGTTCTCTATCAAACATGAAGCTTAATATATAGTTACAGTTCTTGACTGCAATGCATAATTTATTTTTTTCTGTTTCTTATAGTATTAAATTCCAAACAGATAATAAACAGATTCCAAACAGTTTTTTTTTTTTTACTTCAGTTTTTATTTTGTTAAAAATATTAATATAGAAAAATGTTATTTTATTTTTACAATTTCAGCATTTTTGCAATCAGTAATATCAGTTATCTTAGAATTAACTAACCTGAATGGTTAGTATAATTTTTTCAAAATAAAAATTCTAAAGCTGCTTTTATATTTCTTTAGCACAAAACAACTCCGATAAAAAATTAAACTAAATTGCCTGTTCACTTAATCTGTAAGTAATAACTACAGCTGTTCTATGAATAATTATACAGAAAATCAGTTGCATCATTTTGAGCAAAATTGAATATGAATACAACAAAACAGAATCTTGAACTATGCTTCTCACTTAACAGCATACTTTATAATGAAAGACCGAACAAGGCAACCTTTACATGAAAAAAGTGAGTAATTGATAATACAGTTATTTCATTTTCAGATTGTTTAATTTCTTGATGCCATTTGATGACACTTTAAGCAAAAAGACTGCCTAAAAAAATTCCTGACTCCCAACATCTGCTGGCCTTCAGAGCACAATTTACGACCTTTGGAAATATTATTACAACAAAGTTAAACCAGTCTAAACTTAACAGGATTTCTTACAATAGATAGCACAGTAAGAGCTACAGATTAATTGGAAATAAAACATAATTATTGGCAACAGCATGATATTTCCTGGGTATCCTCACAGAGACATTAAGTTTTTCCCAGCATGACAAATAGGAAGAATCAACTTTAACTTTGGCGGAATTCAAATCATGTATTATTCTAAATTCTAGCTGGGGAAGCTACCACTTAAACAACAGCAACATGGATGGCAGAATATGATAATTTCTTTTATGTTCTGGCTGTGTAGTTCATTTTTTTATGCGAGGTTTAAATTTTATTAATTTTCTGATATTTTAATAAATATAAGCATATATACATTTCTAGAAATTTTACATTATTTGACAAATAAAATTTTCAATTTTGTTTTCTCGCTTCCTAAACCTTTATTGATCATATAAATAAATTAATAAAAACAATAAAAATGTTCTTTATTTTGCATCACTTTTTCTCTTGCATCATCACTGTGCATAAACTTTACTAAACGAATTTAAAAAATTTTATACACTGATAGATATGAAGTATCCATCTACAGTTACTTAAGCAAGCAGAACTAAATAACTGTTAAAAAGAATCTGATAAAATGTTTAGATAAGTTTTGATGCTGCATAAAATAACAAGCTCATTCAAAATAAAATTAGATGTCGAAGGAGAAAACATGTTTTAAAAAAAAAGTCTTTTTCTCTCTTTCATACAGACACACACACCCTCCCCCCCCAAACAAAATCTTACCGTGTTATGTATTTATAATCGGGCCAAAAACTACGAAGAGGAAAAACTGTAATGATTGATTTATTCATTCCGTCATGTGTTTTTTTATGGTAAGTATTCTTTCTCATGTACCATATTTCGATAGTTATTGTTCTTCCATTCACTTCAGTAAACTTTCAAATTCATTTTATGGTCCAGTGTCTTTTTTCAGGTGAATGTGGTAGGATGACAGAAGTTTGCAATCTACACTTTATTTGAGTTGGTAACCTTCCAATTTCAGGATGAAAAAGTAATATTAGGTGACTGTTAAGAGCAGACTATCAGTAAAATATTCTAAACACAAGGAATTTATAGCAAACAGTAAATATTTTGTTGGGGTGCTATAACAGATAATCAACTGAAGCAAGCTATCTTCATTAGTAATCTGTTCTGAACACGAGTTAATAAAATATTGTGTAATCTAAATAAATATAAAAATGTAATGATGAAGTTATATAGATGGCTTTCATTTACTAATTTTTAAATGAATTTCAGTGAATGAAATTTTAACTAAAATATACTTACAGAATATATAGCTTGGCCCAGATGTATATCACTCGTACTTTTCCTCGAGCTTTAAAATGTGCTTTGCTCTGAGTACAATTTGTTCTTTTCTTACTAATTTTAAAAACTGTAATGCAATTTCATTGTTGCTTCTCAGTTTTTGCAGCATGAAAATAAAACTCCTTTTATCAATTACTGTAAATTTACTTAGGAACAAAAGGGGGTTATGTCAACACTTCTGAAACACTTTTCTCACATTTTAGTCTGGAAAGTAGCATTTAACTTGTATGTAATGTGTAATTATGAAACAGCATGAGTTTTATACCATCCTCCCCTCCCAAAATACTGATTCACTGCAAAGGAATTAACACACTATTTCAGGAAAAGTAACCAATTTACAATGTGAAGGTAATTATTTATATCCTCCCAGAAAAAGAACCAGACTAGAAGATCTTGAAAGTAATTTTTTTTCACATGTCACTGATATTATTTAGCCTCAACAAATATTAAGTGAGATGTTTTTAAGAGATGTAGGCTCTAGTTGAGAATAAAACACAAAAGTAAAATGCTTATTACAGCTTACTTCATCAGATTTCTTACAAAGCATATATGAAGAGAAATTTTCAAATGTTAATGTATTTTTACAAATTTCTTTTGAATATACTACTGCTACAAACTAAATTTAGTTGATTTATTTTATTCAATAAATCATGTTAGTGCTTCATTTAATAAAGGAAGAACAACTGTGCATACATTTTTTTTTTTTTTTTTTTTTTTTTTTTTTTTAAAGCATACAATGCAAAGCTCGAGATCTGGACCCATAAGGACTTCGGCAATTCCAGATATTAGATCATCAGTTTAAATCTAGTTAGATGACATGTAGCAATTGTAAAATAAAAAATATAAAATAGAGATTTATGAAATAAGCTTTCAGGAAATCAAATTTTTAAAAAAAGGACCCAAAATTTATTTACTGTATTAAACATTTCTTTCCATGCAAGTTATTTAATTTACTTTGTTTTTATGATAATATTTTCTTTAGATAGGCATATTTTCTTGTTCAGTTACAAAGCTCCCTTGTTCCCTTGTATTATGGAAATAATAGCGGCATCGAGAATTAACACTACATTATCAAACAAATTTTTTTCATTCTCAATAAACTCTCTGTCAGTTTCTTCACTATTAGTAGCAATATTTTCTTAATTTAGAACCATACTACAGATTCTGCTGTCCGTCTGTTTACTGATAGCTGGACCATAATCATCATAATGAAAAACTTCTGCTATATCATCTTCATCTATTACCACTTCTTAACAAATTCCATTAAATGAAAAATTTCCCTTTTTTTATTTGCAATATCAGAAAACTTTCATTATAAAGCTTACCTAGCATCTGCTGTACACTACTGTCGACATATTACGAGATTTGCAACTAAAAACAATTTGTTCCACTAAATTTTGTCACGTTTCTAGAGGATGCTGATGAAGTTAACCCTTAATTATATTAGTTTAGTTGTTTATTATACTTACAACTATTTCCCACGCATACTTGAACCCTCAGCCTCAAATAAATAAATTCATACATATACTTAAGATATATATGGGACCATGCTAGACATTTTGGGACCCGGTGCAGTATCTGTGGGTCTGAAATTCTGCTGCCAGTGGCTTTCCTAAATTCCTAAGATTTTGCCATCCCTTAATTTTGTTGCTTGGTGCTTCTAAAATTCTAAAAATTTTGCCTTCCCTAAATTCTGCCATCTGGTGCAGCCACACCAGCTCTGGCGAAGACCAGTATTTAGGCAGCATTTATTAATTGAGTTTGTATAATTACTTATTTAAGCCTGTATTTTCATAAACTTACATTCATTAAGATATATTAACATTATTAAAGAAAGTAAGAAAGCAAAATATCTTAAACTATAAGCTAATATATGCCCAAGTAGCAAAATTTCTGATAACCGGATAAAGCAGGTCATAATGCTCAGAGGGTTAATGGAATAACAAATTAGTTATTCTCAATGCACACAGCACTAAATGTTATCTATTGGACGTATTATTTATAAAATCTACTTTTTGCACATGGAAAGAAATTTCTGTGAAATTTTTCCTTTGTATTACACTCAAATCTTTTCAAATGAGTTATCTGAAGCCTATGCATAATGTGAGAAGATTTGTGTGATAAAAGGTTGCCATGCTCTTTGGCATCCAATTATTAATATTAAAAATTTTTTAAAAATGTGTAGACATTGCTGCATAGGTTATTTTTCAAACTGTAGTTTTTTTAAAAATTGTAATGGGATAATGAAAGCAAAAAGTAATAAATAATGATTGGTCAGGATGGCCCCAAGCTGTAGTTTGTTGATAATTATGTGATGATGAAAATAAAATAAATAAATAAATAAAATAAGTTATTTGCCAGGCGGGCATCAGTGATGAAATGAAATTAACATTTGGCACTTTTCCACATTTTATTATGAAAAATACTAAATGCCCAAGTTTAATGCAAAAAGGCAACTCTAAACAAAAGCTGCTGGTGATCCATAGGCCTGGATATTCCAGATTTCAGACTTTGCACTGTATCACAAACGTATATATAAGTAAATAAAATGTGAAGATATAATGTAAAAAATTTTTTTAAAAAACTTAATTTGCATTTTTGTAATAGTAAAATAAAACCACAAATTACTTTCTTCTCTTATTTCTAACAATAAAATTTAAAATAACATGTATGTGTGTTTATTTTGAATTTCAGAAATAACCTTATCTTTTTACAAAATAATACTGTGAAAGCAGATGTCTCATTTTGTGCAGCATACGGAATTTAAAAATAAAATTCTGTCAGTCAGTTAAAATTGGAAAGAAATATCCAGAAAGTTAAAATTAAAGAAAAATGAGAAAGTTAAAATTGAAAAGATTTATGTTGATCCTCTCTAATCCCATGCAATAGAAAATCACACAAAATGTAGCGTATTAAAACAGTATTATTCAGGAATTCAATAATGAACTGCAAAAATGATAAATTTTGAACACTGCATTCTAATTTTACACATGCTTTTAACTCTATTTTTTCATCAAGCTAGAAATATGATAATAATCTCATAAATTATCATTTTTGCTTTTTTTTCAGAGGAAAAAAAGGAACAAAACTTTCTTCATTCACATAAGATTCAAAACAGTATTCTAATTCTCATTAGTATATGAATTTTATAATATTTACACACAAGTTTAAATTTATTTACTTGCTTTAATTATATGCAGTAATTAGTGAACTACAAATATCTACAACTTATTTGAAAACGAATACAACTAACACAGCTAATTATCACAATCTCTTGTTATAACATCTTTTTTGTTTTGTTGTTTGCAATATCTTACCTTTAGGGAGCTACATCCAATTGCAGTGTTACTGATGCAACCGGATTCTCTGCATACACAGTTCTTACAAGTCAGCACGTGAATACCCTGATGTACATTACGCCATTTATTTCTTATTTTACGGAATAACAATTCATTCAAAACAATGGAATTTTAAAAAAAGGAAAATAAAATATCTGTAGATATCTTTAGTACAGAGACAGTGTCTCCTTTAAATAAATTACAAAACATTTCGATGATATTTTTATACATGGCCTTTTCTTAAGGAAGAAAGTCAAAAGGGGGGGGGAAGGGAGAGAGATGAATAAAATTGCTATTATTTAAGATAATTTAAAAGACTAGTAAAATTACATACATACACACATATATGAAAGAAACTAATTTAGTTTAATGTATACTGTAATTTATTAAAATTTATTATAATTTTCAAATTACAGTTCTCAACGATGAAAGACAGCTTGAAACATTTCATCAGCTATCAAATTTAGATCTTTAAATTAATGTATATTTTCTTTTTACAATAAAAATAATGTACAACTGTCTAAATTTTACACCCTTTCCTGTAAAATAACTCTATTTTTATAAATCAAAAATATTAAATTATCTTAAAATAGGAAAGTGTTTACAAGAAATTAGTCCAGACACAATTCAGGTATCTTGTCATATCTCTCTAAAACATATGATTTATTGTCTCTTTATGAAATGGGTATAATATACAAAATAAACAATTTAGAAGGGGGGAATTCTGTAATCTTTCATTTTTATTTATTTTTTAATTAAAATCTGTATTATATGACTAATAAAATATTACAGTGTACCTAATTATTACATACATGTGACTTTATTTACAGTCAGCACCAAAACACTTAGTAGATGTACTATAAATACATCATGAATTCCATTTATATGGGAATATAAGAATTTAAATTCATTGTGGATTTCACCTGAGTACAACCATAATCTCATAGTACAATAACTACTACATCTTTTTAATAATACAATAATTAAAGAAATGTCTGTCTGTGCAGTAATGATACAATTAAAAATAAAGTCTGAAATCACTTGTTATAGGTTCCAAGAAGTGAGTTAACTGCAGAAAAATAAAGATTTTGAATTTAAAGATACTCATTTATGTTTCATGATAAGTATACGCAACCACTTAGCAGTTTAAGACACATGCTTTTAAAAGAAATCTGTAACTGTTTCAGTGTACACTTCTGAAATCTTATTATTTACTATTTAAAGCTGACAATGCATTGATAGAACTTCACTGTTTATAACTAAAAGTTTTTAGTGAGACTGGTTTAATTCTTAAACAATATTAAGTACATGTATCAAAACTGCAACTAATAATATCAAAGGGATATAAAGAATATAAATGCCAAAATATGATACTGGAGATTTAAAAAAAATTAAATCTAATGTTAGGTTCCACAAATGCGTTTTTGAAATATACTCATATTTTTTGCTATAATGATAAGTAATAAATATGAATACATTTTAAAAAGTAAATATATTAAAATAAACTGTAAGGCAGGCAGCATATTCTATCACATTGCATTGATAGAACTTCACTGTTTATAACTAAAAGTTTTTAGTGAGACTGGTTTAATTCTTAAACAATATTAAGTACGTGTATCAAAATTGCAACTAATAATATCAAAGGGATATAAAGAATATAAATGGCAAAATATGATACTGGAGATTTAAAAAAATTAAATCTAATGTTAGTTTCCTGAAATGAGTTTTTGAAATATACTCATATTTTTTGCTATAATGATAAGTAATAAATATGAATACATTTTAAAAATTAAATATATTAAAATAAACTGTAAGGCAGGCAGCATATTCTATCACATAAAATTATCATTTCTTAACAGAATGCCCCTGATGTCACAATACTCTAGAAACAAACTCAGAAAACAAAAATTTGACATAGTAAATGTCACTGAACAAAGAAAACTGAACTAATTTCATTCAATAATAATATGTGACAATTACAGGGTTCGTACATATTTCTGCACACGAAAATTAATGACTTTTAAGGACCATTAATGAAAAATATTAAGGATCTATGAGCAAATGGGAACTGAATAAATTCAATTAAAAATATTATCTATTCCTGAATTTTACTTTTGTAATACCATCCTAAAAATAAAAGATTCCTAAGTAGTATGCATTATTACTAAACATGAATTAACATAATTATTAATAAAATAAACTTTAAGCAATTTATCAAGTAGCATTAAATATTTTGCACTTACAATAGTTGGACATATTTGAAAAAAAGATAAGTGACATTTACGTTTTACTAACAGTTAGCTTTATGTTGAATTTTTTTATATCTCATTTTGTCACATACTTGGTCATCTAGAGGTTTAGTAAATAGCAGGTAGATTTTATGTCAAACAGCATAGGTTAAAATGAGAAGTAAAATTATAATCAGCATGATTATGATTTTACTTCTCATTTTAACCAAAAGACTGAATATTGTTACCGCTGCTGCATGTCTTAGAACAAAACCTGAAAGGCCTGATGTAGACACAGTTGGCAGGTTTTGAAAGTTAGTTGGGCTTTATCTGATGCAGTTTGTGTCCTAGCTTCTTGTAGAGCTCAAGGATTGTAACCCAGCTAATATACTTTAAGGTTTCACTAAAGCACCACAGTTGATAAGTTGTTTTGTATTATTTTAGATCTGACTAGATGCAAAGAATAAGTTTTACATGAATTTTTACATTTTTGTGTTTTATCTTGTGATCACTGTAACGATTTAAGAAAGGCAATAACTCACTTTAATATCTAGAGATAATTTTTAAGGGAAAGCAGTTACTTATAAATAATTAAATTAGGTAGTTTGATAACCTTAGTCATTATGGATTTACATGGCCACTATTAAATTTTTTGTTAAAAAAGCCCTATTAAAATCAAAATCTAAAAAAATTTCACAGTTTAAAATATATGTAATTTATTACATTGATTCTTAAATGATATTAGGATAATTACACATTAAGAGCTACACAACATTTATGTTTTGAAACAATAACAATCAACAAAATATTTATCTGTCATTTTAACTTGAAGCCATTCCAAATATTTTGGCTAGTTTATATTGATTTTCTTCTCTTTAAGCATTTTTTCTAACAATTAGAGATTTGTCTCAATGTATGAACCAATGCTCTTGCTAGTTTCTCTGAGCTTTATCTCCTAACTTGTCAACCCCTCTGCAATGTACCTATGAGGGTTTACTTGATCTGGTAAAAGTTAAATAGTCCAAAACCCCTGACAGACATAAAGCATATTATCAATCTGAAAGTAACTAGATTATCAGACTAAGGTTTAAATAAGCCTCTTTTTTTAAAAAGAACTTCAAACATAAAGGCATGTTCTGATGCTAACAAAATCAATTACATCTCATGGTGACATAATTAAACAAGAACAGTCAAATTCAAACTAAAAATGGGGAGTAGTGGTCAAAGATTATACATTTTAATTTAATCTGGCTCAGTAACTCTATCATATGAGGAAACAGAAATAGGAAATTATAGTAAAGGCTAAAATCATAAACAATTGGGTAATTTACATAATAATAACTGCACATATCTTTGAATAATAATTTTCTTTATGTAATTCAGTTTCTTTCTTCAGCACGTTTCCTTTTCATTTTACAATTTTTGGATTTAATTAAAGATTCCTGTTATTCTAAAAAACACTAAATGCATTTAGAATGTATAGAAAAAGTGGCTAATTTTATTTTTTTAGCAATATGAACATTTAGACGAAATATGAAATACATATGGTAATGGCTGGTTACAGAGCTGATGTGGCAGAATTTTTAGAATTTAGAGCAGAATTTTTAGAATTAGAGAGAAATATTTTGGAAAAAAAAAGGGGAGAGGGAAAAAGTGTAAAATTAATGTTATAGAGAAAACTGATGCATAGAATTTTCAATATTCTGAGACAATTACATGGGAAAAACTATGAAAAAATTGAAAAGATGACATTTTTAATTAATTACAATAGCTAATTTTGCTTTTGCTAAAAGCTGTTTTGTAAATTGTGCTTATTGTGCAATGTATAAAAGCTGGTTACACAGCTGATGTGGCAGAACTTTTAGAATTTAGAGCAGCATATATTACCATTATTTTAATGAAATTTATCAATGTTATGATATTTTTTTTAAAAATCGTTGAAAAATTCTCAGATCCCGGAGTTAAAAATTTTCTATAGAAACTGATCTTAAAATCACCAAAATGTTGATAAGTCGCCAAATTTAGAACTGTTTAATAAAAGAATTCACATCCCAAAAGCGAAAAGTTGTTTAAAGGTTATTAGAAAAATGAATTTCAAAATGCTTATGTTTCATTTCTTGCTTAGAAGCTCAAGTATCCCAAGTAAGTAAACTAAGTATTTATATACATATAGTACAAGTAAACTAAGTATTTACATTAGAAATAGAAACAAATTATAACCAATGAACCCATTCAAAAGATAACCATATATGTCAGTGAATCACCAAAAATATTCCCCCAACATGCCAATTCACACTCAAAATGGCAGACGTAAAACAGACAGAAAGTTCAGATAATTAAAATTAAGGACCTTCTGCTGAGTTTGGCCAAAATTAAGGACTTTTAAAGACCAAAATCGATTCCAAAAAATCTAAGGACTTTTAAGGATTCTTAAGGACTGTACGAACCCTGAATTATCTGTGCAAGAATTTTTTTAACTGATTAAGTGCAGTAAATATTTTATGAAATCATATGATTTACTTCTAAATACTAAAACTTCCTCTTTAAATATTACAAAAAAAAAAAAAATTACCAAGAAAAATTTATTGTGCTTCTTAAGACAAATACATGTTAAAAGGAATTCTCCAAATAGCATTCATATTCAGGTTTTCAAATTTCTATAAAATATGCATATGCATAAAAATGTGACAATAAGAAAAACATTTGTCATATGAAACTTTTATTTTACTCAATAGATACACTCATAATTTGACAGAGGAACATGAAAAATTAAGATTTAATTTTTCCCCTTTAAATAAATGTGTCAATAAATGTTAAAACAAAATATCAACCAATAATACAAATGAATAAAATTAAGCGTACCTGATTCTGCATCATCTGTGAATGAGGTGGTGGCTGGGGATGGGGGGACGGCTGAGAAGCTGGCTGTTGTGGCGGTGAGGGTCGCATATGAGAATTCTGCATACAGAAATAAATATAATTCAATTATTGATAAAACATGACAGGAAAAATACTTTCAGAGAAACTTAGAATAAATAAAACATTATTTTATTAATTTTTTTAAGAATGTATCTTCTCTGGATTCAAAACAATTCTCATTTGTTTATTACCACCTATATCCTCAGGACATTCATCTCTTGTATACAACCAAGTAATCCTATAACAAATGGGTGGCAGTAGACAAATCACATGAAATAGCATTTTATAAATACCACATATTCTGTTCTGTCAAATTAGCCATTATTTGAATTCCAAATTATTAGCCATAAAATTTCAATTAAACTGTTTACATTGGCAGCTGGAAAATTATAAAACTAAGCATACAAAAGATTCATGAAAACTATAGATTAGTAATTCAGTCTCAGTAGCTGCACCCTGAAACTACTGCTCTTCACAGTGGTGTTTGCTGCTTTCAAATATGAGTGCTTATTTTTATCTGGATTTAGATAAGGGACTCTGAAACATCAGAGTTACTTTATTACTATACAACACATGCACCCACAGTGCACAAATACAGTGAAAATGTCTTTTCATTTCCAGACTTTTCTCTGTGCTCAACACACTTGTTTCTTATCCCAGTGCTGTAATTTGATAAATTACTAGTGGGCAAGCCAAAGCAAAACTCATATCGCAAATAATTTTTTTAGTGCCAAACCATGAAACAAAACTTTTTGACACTTCAAATGTTGTATGTCACTTTTGGTTTAAATCATGATGTATGATGTCATGATTTAAAATTAATGTAATATAACAACATTTTCTCAAAAGCAATAAAAGAATTAACGTGGCAATAACATATTGTGTGAATTATACTAAACTGAAACAAAAATATCGCCAATAGCAGGTATTTATTTAAAATGAACATTTACAAGCATTACTGACTGAAGATTTACTGACATAAATGAAACATTTTCAATGTACAATGACATCCCATGCAATCGTGTGCTTTCTTCAATGTCACAACGTGATCTTATATAATACTAATACATATAATAGTTCATAATGCTATTTTTTATTTCATATTTGTAAAACGAACAAATTTTTTATTAACCAACTCTACGATCTGCAAGCCAGCAGTGGCAACACTTTTTGAAATGAAGCAGATTTTTCTCTCCAGCACGCAAAACCGTTTCCGCTTAGAAAAACGAGGGCAAAAATTAGCATTTTCAGAGTTTTTATTTAATATATCAGCTCATCAAAGTTGTACAAAGATAAGAATGGTCGAAATGACTTCCCACAAACTTTTGGAATATGGGTACCTCTCTCAAAACTCAAGTCTCTACCATTCTGGAGGAGATTATGCCACAAACTTGCTTGTAGAAATTAAGAAGTTTCTAGATGCGGTTACCGCAGTACCGCCAGCGCTGAATCCACAAAGTTCTGATTTAAACCAGTCTAGTGGCTTTTGCAGTAAGGAATTTCGCAGGTAAGTTCCAGTTCTAGTAGAAATAGTACGCTGAAATTATCAAAATTAATGATTGATAAATTTTGTGGAGACACAAACAATGGAGTGAATTTTGGAATAGTTTCATAAATTTGATAGATAAAAAGAAATGCTCTCAAAAATACAAAAATTTGTATATTTAAAAACATTCTTAATGGGACAAGCTATGAATGTTGTTTCAGGCTTTGAATTAGTAAAACGTAATTATGATAGTTGTGTAGCATCACTAAAAGACAGATATGGTCGGAAAGACCTGATAATTCATTCATTCATGAATAAAATTCTCAATTTAGAAGCCGTTAAAAATTCTGCGAACGTAAAGGCTTTATGTAAATTGTATGACGAATCAGAAGTTTCGATTCCTAGCATGGAAGTTTTAGAGGCAACTTCTGGCTCATGTGGACATTTACTAATTACACTATTATTAAAATTAATTCCGGAGAATTTAGTTTTGGAATTTATTCGGCAAAGGGAATCGTAAGATGAAGTTTCGGAATTAACACAATTTATTAAAACAGAAATAGAATGCAGACAAGTTTCAAATTTAGTATAAAATGAAAGAAAAAATTATGTACCTGCGCAATTCAATCAATCAAAATATGAAACTAGAAAATACATCAAAAATACACCCACAGCTGCATTTTCTAATTCTAATACACCCACAACTGCATTTCATACTGCAATTAACCAAAAATGCATCTTCTGTGATAATTTACACGAGTCATTTAAATGCAAAGTGTTTCTGATAAATTAAAGAGACTAAGATCCCAAAACCGCTGCTATTCTTGTTTTAAAAAATTTCATACATCAAAAAAGTATCGAAACAAAACTAAATGTAATAAATGTGGTGGAATGTATCCCACCCAATGAATCAATCTGTATTAATAAATCCCCTGTAAATAAAAAGTCAGAACAAAATTATTCCCAAAATGAAACTGAATCTCTGGCTTTGAATTCTGAGAAAAGAAATGGAGTTCAAAACTTTGGTTCACTAAGGCAATAAATCATTCCTATCCGGTCATTGAAATCGAAATTCGGAATTGGAAACAAAATAATAAAATAAAAATTGAATGTTTGATCTCGGTGGACATCAATGTACCTAGTAAACAAATTGCAGACTTCATGGAGCATTTGGGGTTGCAGGTCACTGATTTGCTCTGGAAAAAATAACACAGATGTTCAAATATTAATTGGCGGAGATGAATTCTGGAATGTAGTTTATTCCAAAAGAATTAAAATATCTGAAGGATTGTACGCAGTCAGTTCTGTGTTTGGTTGGGTTGCTGCAGGAATCAAGAAAAATAAAACGCATACAAACTGTTCTGAGACCAGTTTGAAAGAAATTTGTAGTTTAAAAATAGTAGATATGAGGCAAGTTTTATCTGGAAATATAGTCCGAATAATCTAGAGAAATAATTTTAAGGTAACAAAGAAATGATTCGAGAACCTTCAGAATAAATTAAGTAAAAATTCTGAAGACTTTTCAGGAATATTTAAAAAAAAATTGAAAACCAGATGTTAGAAGGAATTGTTGAGGAATGTCCAAATAATGATACAAATTTGTGGAGACATCGAAAAGGGCTTTTTGATGATAGGTACTGCTGAAGGTGATAGACAATTTCTAAAATTTCTTTGGTTTATTGAAAATAATGACTCTTTTAAGATTATGCAAATATGTAGCGTAGCTTTCAGTTTGACTATATCACCTTTCATTTTGGCAGCCACTATAAAATATCACATTCGGAAATATAAGGATAAAATGCTGGACAGTTTCGAAAAGTCAAACTCTTCTATCTATGTCGACAACCTGTATTTCGGAGCAGGAACGGTTAAGATGCATATTGGCTATCTGTACATGTGGTTATGTTTAAGGATACCGGGACGAATTTCACAAAATTAAGAACTAATTCTAAAGCATTAAATGATTTATGGGTCTTAAATGGGATAAAGGAATCAAATAACAAGTTAACTAGTGAATCAAATTTTTTGGGCATGATTTGGAATTTCATCGAGGACAACATAAATTAAGAAAACTTAATTGACTCTTTTAATGAAAACGATTTTGCTACAAAAAGGAAAATTTTACAAAGTATTGTCCAAATATATGATCCATTTGGATTTATTGGGCCCTTTGTTAATCGGGCGAAAATCATTATTCAAGAAATCTGGTATTCCTGTGATGACGTCCTTTCTGCAGAGATTAAGGACAAATTTAACATTTGGCGGGATGAACTTAGTGATTTAACTGAAATACTGATACGGCGAAATTTCTTTGCTGACGATCCAGTGAATGTATGCCTTCACCTATTTTCAGATGCTAGTCTTAAAGCATATGGGGCCATTGCATATTTTAGATATTGTATGAGTGATTCAGAAATTAAAATTTTCTTTATCATGTCGAAATCCAGGGCTGCACCTTTAAGATCAATCACGCTTCCTTGTTTAGAGTTGATGGGAGCACTCGCGGCTGCTCAAATGTTATTTAAAGAAATTGTTTGGAGAATTAATTACGAATGTTTATTTTTGGAGCGATTCTGAAATCGCCATTACTTGGATTAAAGATTCACCAAATAATTGGAAACCATTTATTGCCAATCCTGTTACAGAAATGCAGGGTATATGCAACACAAAATTGTGGAACCACTGCGAAGGAAAACAAAATCCTTCAGATTTACTGACTGGAGGAATTAATGCTCAGTCACTAGTTAAGAATGATTTGTGGTGGCATGGGTTACACTAGTTATGTTTTCGTACTGAAAACTTTCTGAAACAAAAGAAATTACAACCAAATTCAGAATCGTTAGAGTTAAGAAAAAGTATTATTTTGACTGCACCCGTAATTGACAATGAATTCCCAATTCTGGATATAGAATAATTCAGTTCTTTAGGAAAATTACTCCGAATTACTGCCTATATATTAAGATTTATTGGGAGGTTTCTGAAATGGTCTGCAGAGAATGGACCTTTAAGTACTTTTGAGATTGAAGCAGCTGAACTTTACTGAGTAAAAATTACTTAACAAGAATCATATCAAGTGGAAATACTTAAGTTGTCAAATAAAAAACCATTCTCGATTCTTCCATCTACTTCCTTAATCCAAGGCTTGATGAGGAGGGAATTCTTTGGTTGAAATATCACATTCAATTTGCAGACAGTCACAAGAATTTAAAATACTCCATTCTATTACCTTCTCAATGCAAGTTCACAGAGTTGATCATCATGGACTCGCATGAAAAGGTATTCCATGCTGGAGTTAATTTGAAACTAACACAGATCAGAGCCACATATTGGATCATTAAGGGGAGGCAGCATGTTAAGACTGTCATCACTAAATGTCTGATATGCAAACGATATAATGCTCGTCCTGGGGTACATGATATAGCTCCACTTCCTTCGGACAGAATCCAAGAGTCGCCTCCATTTGCTGCGACCGGCTTGGACTTCACAGGCCCATTTTTTAACGAAAGACAGCGAAGGTAAAGTTTACATGCTGTTGTTAACGTGTGCCATTACT